TACCAATCTCTGTTACATTTTTATACAATATCCTTTTATAGTCCAATATTATTGGTTTTTATATTGTAGATTTCACACTTTTTTATATTGCAGTTTTCCATTTTTATATTGTAGTTCTTAATAGGTAAAGAGCCATTAGGTGGATTAATTGTTAATAAACCATTATTATTATAATTTGTGTGTGTGTGTGCACTATTGTAAGCTTCTTAGGATGGAGTTCTTGTTGTTGTGAATGGTGTCCTTAGGAATGGGATGCAGGCATACCCACTGTCCCTAAGAAGAAAACCATCATCGAGAGAGCGATGGTTGTTTTGCAATTAACTGCAAATGTTACTGGTCCAGAATACGTGGCTATCATGAGTACTTCCTGGCCAGCAGGAAAGAACATTGGTAAATATGCCTTCAAATTAAACAATATTTTTGTAAAGGTTAGAGCTTGGTCCTCCTTGAATGTTTTGGTTTGTGTATGAATTTTATCTCAAATGTCTACAATTTTGTTTTCTTTAGGAAGTCTTGCTACTCAAATTTGAAAGTGCCTGACAAGTCTTGTCCAGGAATGACACAGGAGAGAGAGTTACGTGTGCCCCGCAGCAGTCAGGAAGACTTAGCTGGCCCCCCAAGAGCTTTAGCTGATTATGTACTGTCTTAACAAGGTATGAAACTGTATAACATATAATTATCAATCAATAATCATGTACAAGGGGATTAAAAATCCTTTACACAACACCAGACAGTCAGCCAACTACACCAAAGCATTCTGTGTCTATAGGAAACTATTTAGAGTCCATCGCAAAATTATCAACTTAAATCTACTTCGAATCCCATTTCTGGTCAATATCCCCAGAAATGTTAGAGACTGATTTTACGCACACCTTTATTTTCCTAAACATTTTTACACCTACATGCAATCACCTTGAACTTGTGAAAAATTAATTGGACCTCTGTGTGTGGGATAAGGGATTGCATTTCTGGATTCAGTGAAACCTCAGAGAGATGTAAGGAAAAAAGGACAAGTACAAAAAAAGTTAGCAATCTTTAAAAAAATTTCTCAACTTAGCACAATTAGCAAAGTTACGAGGTTCACCATGTGGTACCCTTGGAAAATGTTGAAATATTCTACCACATGATCAACCCTTCATCTTCTTTAGGCCAACACCTACCTCAGCAGAGTTAACAATTTCAGTAGCAGAAATGAAAGCATTGTAATCTGGATAGGTGCACCTGACCAGGAGAGTCCAAATTGTGTTTGGATCCCAAACATATGCAAGTTCTGCAAACCTTGTTCCATCCCCAGTTTCATGCTTCACTGGCCCCCCAACCATCTTTCAACTCATCAGGAAGCAAGTGGTCACATTGCTACTAATGGCCAGTCATTTTCTGGCTCATTTCTGGAGAGGAGCTCCAGTTCTTTTACTTCATCTGATAGGCCCAAGAAGTAGTATGAGATTGTTCCTGAATTACCACAATAGGGTCAAGGTTCATCTCTTGATTGCGTCAACCCATAGTGACTTGAACGGTCATTACCAAAACAAATCCGGTAATGTTTTGGTTCAGAAAAATCCAGTTCTTTCAGTAAAGTTTGTACATCACACCACTTTTTGGCTCGTGAGCAACAGCATCCTTATTTCCACTTCTATGCATATCTTTACCCCATTGTGAAAGTTGTTTGAAATGATTTATGGAGCATCCCAGTTTCTATTTCATATCCACTGAGCGAAGTATCCTGTACAAACTTCTTTACATTCTCTCCATCATTGTCACCAACAGAGTCTGCTTCAACATCTCTTAGCTCTGACTCCATATTATCCTTACCATCTGAACCTAAATCACGGCACTATTGCAGTCAGTGAGAAATATTGTCGGAATCATTGCCCGTGCGATCGGCACTAGCACAAAGACTACTAGGGCATGCAAACTCTCTGCAAGAGTCCACAAAACAAAGATCACATTCAAGTTCAAATTCATGCTCTTCATATTCCACAGGAAGAGTAGATTTTAGAATATTCTTATTTTCCTTAGGTTTTCTCCTTAAAGTAGCTAAGTTAGAACAGTTTTTGATGTCATCAGGAAGGAGGTTCCAGGATAATGCAGCTCTGTGTTTGAGGGAAGATCCGCCTACTTCAGTTCTTGGCTATGAATCTTGACACTTAAGGGCTTTGCAAAGTGA